GAAAGCCATTTCCGCCAGCCCATTATTTTTATTTTTAATCTGTTCATACATAGAATGTTCAAAAGGCAGTGTGTATTAGTTTTATGTATAAGGCTTCAAATAATTTTTCAAAATTTATTTTTTCCCCGTTAAACAGTCCCACGCAGGCGATTGTTTGCTTTGTGACTCACCGGTTCGTTTCAGTTCAGGCAGTTGAGCTAGCAGGTTTGCTATTTTAAGGCTGCGTAGCGCGTTGAGTTCTTGTGTCGATCCTGAGCATTTGCTTATTACCTCAATGCCCAGCAAACATAAATGAAGGCCTGTATTGTGGTCGTCGCCCGGCGAGCACCGACGTTTTACGGATAGCGTGCGTAGGGTGCGTATTTGCCTTGGCGGAGCTCGACCCATTACGCTGTTCCTGAGGCTGCTGCTAGAGACTCTCCTTAGGGACGAAATCATTTTGGAAACGGCCTGGATGATCAAAAGATCCAGCTTGGCCGGCCCAGATCCAAGGATAAGGGCACTCACCAGCTAAGCTAAGCTATCAGCTTTTTTTGTTTGCGAAGGAAACGAAGACAGTAAAAATAGATACTACCGCACAGGGCTCATTTTACCAGCATCTGAATGGTCCTTGCATACCGGTAATTACTTTTCTAATATGTACCTGATTATTATTTCTTTGCAACGCTATACTTTAATAGGCGCTGACCCTGATTGGAGATGCAAAAGATAATTGTTCCCATCGCTGTTGGACTGGTGCCCCCTCCCCGCCCCCCCCCCCAATCCCTGGGACGTGGCAGGGATGTCACGTGGTGCTGTGAAGATGGTATGACAGTGAGGTGGACGGCATGCGAATGCCAGGCCTGATCATTTCCACGGCGCCCTGCTGGCTCCCCGGGTTAGGCGACGTTGAGCAGACTGCCCCCTGGAGGAGGAAATCCTTCCCTACAACCTGGCTGAGGTTCTTAGACAGGTAAGTACCCCCTAGGGCCACAAAGCTTTCTCAGGGAGTTGTGATGCATGTGATCTTTGTTTGCCTTTCTTTGAAGAATCACTGTTGGGCTCGGGGGGGAGGGGGGGGTTAGTTAATCCATATAAATTTGTGTTCAAGGTAACTTAATATAAGTAGCATTTTAAGTTGAGTATTTTTTCCATTTTTTATTTTAGTGGATGTATTTTAGTGGACATAAACCATAACTCAGCTTACAAATGTCACTGTTAAAGTTTAGTTTGGGTTGCTGGGATCCATTATTGGGTTTTACCAGAACCTTTTCTGTTTTCTGTCTCTGGGTTGAGTCCATGCCTGCCCACCGCTTCAGAAACCCAGAGCTGTGAACATGGCCAACAATCCGAGCCCCCGGCTGTCACTCACTCGAAGGCGTCTATCGGAAAAGAACAGAACTCTCCGGCGTTCTGGCTGCCAGTCAGAGAGCAGTCGGGAGCGGACGGGTGTCTGCGTACGAGTGCCGCTGTCGACCGGGACGGGCCTCGTGGCTGCCTTTGGTGGGGAGGGCCATCTATTCAGCAGGCCGCTCGTTACCGAGGCCTGCGGAGAATTATCTTCTTCAAACAGTTAATCTCCTGTGGCTAGAGTGCTACGAAAAACGTTTGTAGAAGCTCCTCATACATCGGACAGGGACAGCCTTTAAAAAAAAAAGAAAAAGAAAAAACAGGAGCTGTAAAATCTCATGCAGGCAGCCGTCTAAGGCGGTTTTCATTTTTTGAATATGTAGGCTGGGGAAATGAAAAATGACGGAGTGGGTTGAAAACACCGAAGGAAGAAAAAAAGAGCAGAAAGGGCCTCGCTTTTCTTCCTAGTGAGAAGCTGCCAGCTCCGTGGCTCGGGGTGAGTTACTCCTGCAAGCCTGGCTGTCCAGAGCAGGCCTGCACGCAGACGCCTGTCCTGCCACAATGACTCGCTTTGGGCTGCGGTCTGGCCTCTCCGGCTGCGAGCCGCCTGCCCCCCCACCCCCTTTGCCGGGGGGGTGGATGGTCACCAGCCGCTGTGAGCCAGTGGGGCCTTAGCAAGGGGGGCCTGGTAGTACTCAGATGACGCCGGACAGGTGGCATGATGCCAGATTGGGGGCCCACAGGGAGGTGACAGGTACCTGCAGCATTGAGTGGGGGGGGGGGGGGCGGTGAATGCAGAGTTGACTGCTTACCTGCCTGATTAACACCTGGCTTCAGCACCAGGCAGGCTCAGACACGGGCCCATGATTCTAACACTCTGCATAATGTCGCCGAGGTCCCTGGCGGGGTGGGGGGATGCATGGAACACCATTCATGCAGACAAGAGCTGGTTTTAATTCTTGGCACTTTCTGTTAACTCATCAGGAAAAAAAATAATAATAAACTGCCAGGAATGTATGGTGGGACTTAAATTCATTCACAAGCAACTGCAATTGGGCAATAAATGATGGAGTGTGAAATGTGGACCACACATTACTGATTGGCAAGCACCTCTGCATAATTAAAGACCGTAGTGTGTAATTAAATGGTATTTCTGTGCGAGTCCCCAAAGTTTATCCAAAGTTACAAATCCCAAGTTTAAACCCAGTCAAAATGACTAAGGGGATCATGCACAGAAAGGGAATTTTTTCACAATGGAATTTTAATACGAATCTGACTCAACAGATACATCAGATTCGCAGCAGGACACTTAGAAAGGCTGAGCTAATTCTCTGGAGTGGGCTTTGTCTGCCTTTAAAATGCGCAAACACTCATGTGTCAGCCCTCTGCCCAGGCCTTTGACAGCAATCCATTGTCATAATGATCTCGCTTTCTGTCTCTGTCGCGTTCCTCCATGGGGCGACAGGTTGGCCGCAGCCAATCAAGATCCACCCTCATCCAGGTAGCTGAACGCACCGGGTCTCCCTGGGCTCGGGCGCTGAAGGTGGGTCAGAGCCCATTGTGTGTCGTGCCCCCCCTCCCCGTGTCCATACCCAGGGCTTGTGAAGAGACGGTAACACAAAGCCTGCCCTATTGCCTTCAGAAGGCGCCTTCTCACAGCGGAGGGGAGGTGGGCTTGTGCCATGGGAGCCTTTGTGTTGGCTCTTCCCTTTTGTACCTGTCAGTGATCACAGGCTTCAGAGGTGGTGCCTGTTCCCCGCTTGGCCCCAGACAGGTCAGCAGCGAGGTAGATCCCTGTGACACCCTTAATTAAACTTGTCAGCCCCGCATACCTCGACACCCAGCACAGGTCGTCAGATAAGACATAATTGATGAGTTTGAAATGATGTGATAGCTTTGATTTTTCTCCCGTTTTAATGTCTTTGTTTTTCTTGATCCTCCAGGTCATTGATATATATTTTTTTCCCTTTAGTGACTTTCCTTGTCATAATTCTTAATTCCCCCCCGGTTAGAATGCACATGCAGAACCAAAGACCCCCAGGATCGTTCATAGCGGGGGTTGATGTACAAGGACACCTTTGACTACTTTGGTTGTCTTCTGACAGCTTCTTTGGGCTTCACATAGGTCAGTCTCTGCAGCAGGTAGGACCAGATCTCAGTTTGTGTGACTCCCATTACATGAGAGAATTGAAGTGCACAGGACAGTGTCTTACATGTGCAAATACAGCGTTCAGGTGCATACATGTAACGGGGACGTCACGTACACATCAATGCACGGCCATGCTGTTGAGCTTTGCATTTACCCAGAGCCCTCCCAGGTAGAGCAACCGATTATATAATAATTACTCATAATGAGCCAATAAAGGAGAGTTTATGACAGCAATGTGCGATGAACGAAGCATTTTACTGGTGTTTCTTTCGATTTAAGTGACCATACAAGTCTCAATTCACCCAGCCTGCCACCTTAATGGTTCGACTGAAAGATCCGTCCACACATGCAAGCCATTAACGGCTGCTGACCCCTCGTCGCCTACGTGACTGACACTGCAGGAAGATGTCTGCTCCAGGATGAGAGCGTGTGCATCGTACCCCTGACCCCGCAGCTGTCGAGAAGCTACTCAGTGTCCCGTGGAAACAGAATTAAATATTGGGCTGAAATATTAGAAACGCCTTGAAGTAGCGTTGGGCAGCACAAAATTGGTCATTTTCGAAAAAGCAAAACACAAAGTTCATATTTTCCTGTCGCTTTCAATCACACTCAAGCCAGTGAAGGTTTTTCATGCCGAAGTGAATTGCGAGGACATATGGCTCAGATTAACGCTAAAACAGTAGCCGGACGATGGTGCGATTGTGCGGGGGCTCTAATTAGCCTCGCAAAATCGAGCTGTGGCGGTGATAAAAACGCGCAATTCTTTCGCTAGCTTCAGCCAGCCTTCCCTCACATCTGCACGTCGCCATGGCCGCTCGGGAGCCGGCGTAATGATACGTTTCTGCGCTATTTCTGTGTGGTCCGCTTCTCGCTCTCTTCACCCCGCGTTTGGTTTGTTTATTACTCCCCAGGAGGGGGGGGGGGGTCGGGAGGCTCCGTACCAAAATTAGTTTACTCCATTTATTTTTAACCACCCGGAGCCTTCCGTTGTAATTTAGCGCCGTGCGGACTTGGGTTTTTCGTGATTCGTGGTCGGACGTGACACTGTTAAAGTTTTGATTTCCCAGCATTCCACGGCACGAAAACGTTGGTACGCGCTGCCCGTGCCACCCTGTGCCACCCTGTGCCACCTCGTTTAATCGGCTTGCTTCCTAATTATAGGCCTCACACCGCAGCTCCTGGGTGTGGCACCGGGGAAGACGTTGTGCGCGCGCGTGCCCCGCTAATGCTAATTGCACCGCGTATGTCATACTCCCGACTGGGCACCGAGGAATCACGACGCTGTCCGCCTCCAGCGTTACGCGCCCGTGAGCCTCATGCCACGCTAACTGTGCCAAAATGGCCGCTGGCGTTGCTTAGTGCGTGAGACGATCGATGCTTTGTGGCCACTGTTTGGAATGTTGCTTCCCTTCCGGACCTGAGTAAATATTCCCTTTATAAGTTAATGTGGTACTGCGATATGTAATTCAGCAAAGCTCGGGCTCAGGGAATATCTGGAGTTCATACAGACCTGACAGGGATATGGCTAACCTGCTGGGTATGGGATTCAAAGCCACAACCTTCTGGAGATGGATACCGACCCCAATCCCACTGAGCCACAGCCTACCCACTATCCAGTGACTGCATCTGATGTGCAATTTTCTGCAAGTAACCAAGGAAAGTATTGAAGTATAAATTTAAATGTACTGTCATGTGATTTTGTCATGTGTGTTGCCGCCCCCTCATGTATAGATTCTAAAAGAATATCATTTTTCCGTCGTGTGGAATGAAAACCCGCAGTGTGGCCATTGGATTGTACACCTGTCGGCCCACCCCTCACTCACACTCCGGGGTGTATGAATCCCTAAGAACCACAGAACCTGCAAGCGACACAACCGGCGCGGTGGATCAGCGGCCGGCGCCGGCTCAGGGCCCAGCACCCGTGTTGGTCAGACTCCGACATGAGGTCTCCCACTTCGTGTGTTTGATCAGCGGGCTGCCGCACCTTGGCAGGTAAGACCGGACTGCGGCCTCCGGACTTTCCTCCGTCTCTGACGTCGGAGAAAGGAGCCCATTCATTTCACATGTCACACGTCTGGAGACCTTCATCATACAGAACTGTTTGCTTGCATTCCAAAGCAGTTATTTAAGCGTAAATGTATTTTTTTTTTATGAGGGAAAAAAAACATTCTTCCATGTAAAATGGCCATTAAAACAAAAGCAGCTCGGATCTGGATGGACCATTTGGACGTTTTGGTTCTGTGTCCTCTATGTGTCTTTGTACCTGGTTTTGGGTCGCTTTCGTGATGCTGGGGTCCCTTTGTGTTGGTGACCCCTTTGTGTTCTGTTCGCCGTCTTTGTCACAATCTATGTCACGGAGCTAAGACCTGACAGTGGGTTTTTCCACAGGAAGGTGGCTTTGGGAGGAACAGACTGGGCTTAGATCCAGATGAAGCAGTGTTAATGACCCTCACCCCTCTTTTTCCCCAGACACAAAGCCTACCCCCCCCCCCCCCCCCACCCATCCAACTCAGACTGGCACTTCTAAATCGGATCTCTAAAAGCCTCCTGAGGCCTAATGACCGTTTGGTAAAGACGTCACGGTCCGCTGCCAGAGATCTTGGCAGGATGCTTATCTCGCACCCTCCGGACCTCGCCGACGGACCAGGTTACGGGAAAACACGGCCGCTGGAACGGGGCTGAGCGGTATCGGGAACAAAGTGACGCGTGGTGCGTTTTTCACACGTGTCGTGATACAACAACGTTGCCACTCTCGTTCCTCTAATTTAATTTCAGGTCCGGGTGTTAATCCACCCCCCCCCCCCATTGGCCTGAAAGGTGAACACGTGAGTGATTATTAGTGGATAATGGGTGCTGTCATGTTCTGGCACAAGGCCACGGTTTTCCTGTGATGGTGTGTGTAAGGGGGAGGGGGTGCAGCACCCTGATGTCCCCAGCCAGCTATCAGTTCATGCGTGTCTCACCACCAGCTAGTAACCACCCCCCCCCAGGAGATCAGCTTGCCTTGTAATTACCAGGATTTATCAGCCCCCACTGATGTTGTCACTTGTAATCAAATATCCTCTCTTTCCTTCAACAAGCTGTCCTCTATTTTGTAAACTTCATTCAGTTAAAACCAAATCGGCTGGTGTACCTCATTCCCCCACGCAGCACTGGTAGCTGCCATTTGCATTAATTACCTGCACAACAATGTTAGTTATCTTATCAAGTCTTTTATTTGTCAAAAATGAAGTCACAGATGATGCAGCCATTCAAAATGCATCATACTCACTTTCTCCACTTAATTCTGCTGCTATTTTCATTTGCCTTAAATAGTGTGGGCAAAAAATAGCTGCAATTTTTTCAGCGTATGGAGAATGCTGGGAAAACCCCACATTTTAATTAATGTGATTTTTAATGGGGGGGGGGGTTTCTTCCTAGGAGTGGTCAGCAGTTTTGGACGGCGAATGAACTTTTAAATATGCATACATTTTAACATCATCTAATAAGTTCCCGTAAAATGGAAGGGCGCAAACAATTCAGTATTCATTTGGTCCGGGGGAAAAAAAAAACAAACAGCAAATGCCTTTTTTCCGGAGCATGGGCATAGCGGCAAATCCATGGAAACTGATTTCTATCTAATTGCGCTCTGTGGCCTTCTGAGCACGACGCTGGTAGCTAGGAGCAATGGGAGAGATAGCGCAGCACTAAAAATACTCCTCTTTCACCGCATGGAGACGGAAGGCGGCCAGGTTTTATTCCGAAATGACCTAAGTTTGAAGTTTTACTCAGTTTTACAGGATCTGTCTGAACCCGCCAGTGGGTTTCGTGTGATGCTGATTCACACCATTAAACCCTGTGGCCGTTTCTGATGCCGACTACTCAAGAGATTCATTTGTACTGCTAATAGATTAAATATTAAGGGTGATCATTTTATTAATTTTGTGTTACTGTAGATGGGGGCAGAGATACCCCTTTTTTTTTTTGCAGGTTCCGGTTAAATTTATGTGACATGTATATGTTAAAATTAGCCACAGCGCAGTCGCTCGTGTGTTTAATGGTTTTCTGGATCGCTCTTTATTTTTCATAGCAGTGATCTAACTCGCAGTGGCCATTGATTACTCAGTGACAGTCCCGGCATGGGCGTGTCACCTGAAAGTTGACAGGTGCCCCTGCCGGCTCGTTAGCATTTGTCCAGCACTCTGTGACTCTCCCCCCCCCCCCCGCACCCCCCTCATAGGTGATTCTCAGAGGCTACCCTTGATGCTGTGCAGATCCAGCTACGGGGGGGATCAGACCCCACAGTGTGATGCAGCCTTCAGCTTCCCAGCGGTGTTAGCGCCCCCTGCAGTCTGCAGCCTGCTATGCACCCGAGAAAACTCTCAGGTGTTTCATTACTCGCTGTTCTGCTTTAGGTATACCAAAGAAAATGAGCTTAATGATTAATTACGAGTCATTCATAGGTGAGAAAAATTCAATTCAATTTCATTCATTTTTATAAAAGACACAAAAAGACACTTGATCGCTTGCACTCATTGCTGCCCGCTGCTAATCTCCGCAGAAATTTTGCTGTCAATAGGTATATATTACGTCTTCTATTAACTTGATAATGACATTTTAATGATAATTGCTTTGAATATTTTGTTGTGTAAAACCATAAAAAAAATACCAGGAAATCAATTATCATGGAAAATGGTGTTATAATGGTGAGAACCAATGTTTTCAGAAAGAAAACATTTCATACCTGTTTATTTCAAGTACGGCTTCCAGTCTGCTGGAGTTGTGATATTTGTTTTCCACTTAAAGCAGAACAGTGGGGTCTCATTAGCACCCAAAACGACCCATTAGTCACTGGTTCTGCCCCCTGGCCCTGTCCTGAGAAGGGATCCATTTATAACACCCCCATTAGCTTACCAATGGACCATCAGACTGGCCGCTCTCCTTGGGAACAATGCCCCCCTCCCCAATCATTTGGATGCTAAAGCACGCCGCCCTGCCCCCAGGGGGGGGGTCCCCGTTCTGTGCCCGTTTTGGTGGGGGTCACTGTGAAATCCGGAGACGCCGTTTTGCAGCTGAATTGAGCTCAGCTCCCAGGAGATGCGTCGGCCACATTCCTGAGGAGCAGGAAAGGCCGAGCGCGGAGAGCCTGTTTGGCGTAAACAGTCCGCAAGGAGGAACAGGGAGCGTAACCAGGGCAACAGCCCCGGAGCTATAGCTAGGGCAGGTTCCGCCGCCGTGAAGTCGGAGAGGGCCAGTCGAAAGCCGAAACTGACGCTGCTACAGTCTAATGCTGCATTTCCAAACGAATTTGAAGTTGAGAGCGAAACACCCACAGATGCATGCGACTCACTGATCCCCCCCAACCCCCACCCCCAGGATGAAACGGCGCCAAGCTTTCCTGAGCCATTGTTAGCAGAGCTCACCTGTCTTTCTGTCTCGGGGTCAAAAAATGCCTTTGGGGGGGTGGGAGTGCAGAGTGCGATGGTGGGGGGGACAAGGTGAGCGTGTGGAAGAATGCTGAGCCCGGGGCCGCCCCCCCCGCAGACAATGCGCATTCACTACAGGAGTCCTGCTGCAGCCCCAGACCGTCTGGCTCCTGGGGCCGTACCCCTGCACAGAGCTGCCTTTGTCCCTCTAATTACACAACCCCCCCCTCCAACCCCCGTCCTTCTGCCGGGAAACTGCTGCTGGGGGTTCTGCTCGCCAGTGCCCCCTTCTGGTGCCCAAGGCCCACTGATTTCTCCCATGACCTCCTTATACCGGCCTCTCCCTTCACCCCCCTGCTGGGACCTGCCTCTGGCACACACTTCAAGCGGTTAAATTGCCCGTGCCGGGCGGTTCGTGATGTCAGGGAGCACTGGGGCTTTACGGACCCGGCCAGGTAGACAAGCCTCCTCCCTGCTGATATTAACTGTCCCTTTTGAGCAGGTCGTCCTTCCTGGCAGCTTAGGGGGGCTGAGGCCAGATGGCGGGAGAATCCGTGCTGCGGATTATCCTGCAAGTCAGACGAGGGAGGCTCCTCCGACGTGTCCGCTGAGGGTACGCCTGCCCCCTGCTCATTCGTGGGGAGGTGCCAAGGGGGCAGTGAGGGAATAAATATCGGGGATGACTCTCCGTTTATGGGGAATGCCACCACACCCTGTCGTTTAGGAGTAACAGCGTCCTGCTGAGACATCTCTACAGATTGGGTTACGGTAGAGTGTTAACCTTGCCGTTACCGCGAGGTTTCTGTTCTGCTTATAGCAGAGTCATGGTAATTACCGCGACTCTCTTTTCCGCCCTCGACCCCCATGCCCCCCTCAACCACATCACGGTGCGAATCCCCACTTCCTCCAGGACCTGCCCCCTCTACACCGCCCGCTATGCGCATGCCAGGCCGCCCATCAGGCCGCGGCTCGTGGTAGACGGAGCAGGCGAGCTCCCACACGGCCTCCGCTCGCCGACTCCCACCGCTGTCTCCACTGCGGTCGTCTAATTAGAGTGCCCGACGATCCAGGCTCGGGATTGAAGTACCGCCGGAGCCACTGCCAGAAACTTCGGAATTTTTTTTTTGACTTTTAATATATAGCGGCTGGCAGAGAGAGCTCAGGGGCGCGGGCACCCGAGCGCGGCAGGCAGGCCCCGTGACGAGGGGGCGGAGCCAGCGAGAGACCTCCCCGTCTTAACGAGGATCTTACCGAAGCCCGTGGAAACAGGATCTGTATTTACCTCATTTTCAACATTTTATTTGTATGGTAATTTCAGAGAAAACACCATTTTAACGGCAATTAATGCAGCCAAACCACGGTGGTTTGGCTGGCTTGCAAACTCGGATGGATGTATGTATGTGTCATTTTTCGGGCCCATATATGTGTCGGGGTTCTTCCTTCCAGCTCTGGACCAGACTCAGTGCCAAATGGAAAAACTATAAAATGGAGACAGGCGCTGGACGACCCATGACGCCGTGGAGACGAGTCCACCGCTTGCGAACGCGACGCCTGGGCTAGTGGGGCATCGGGCTCCCTGGGGGGGACGGAAGCTCACGTGGGCATTAAACATGCGGTCAGCATTCTCTATATTGACCCAGAGCGGCTGTGAGTGGGGTCCCAGGGCAGGATGCATCTGAGCTGGGCCCTAGGGCAGGGTATGTCTGAGCAGCCCCAGTGTGGAGTGTGACTGAGCGGGGCCGTAGGACGGTGTGTGTCTGAGTGGGGCCCCAAGGCAGAGTGTTCCTGAGCGTGGCCCAAAGCAGGATGCGTCTGAGCTGGTCCCCAGGGCGGGGTGCGTCTGAGTCACATCCCAGGGCAGGGTGTCTCTTAGCGGTCCCCAGGGTGGGGTGTATCAGCCTGACGCTGCTCAGTGACGCGCTCACAAACCCCCAACTGCGTCATGTTGTGCCCCTTCACTTCACACCATGTCTCCCTCATTTCAAAGCCCAGCAAAGAAGCACCTTCATAACTGTCCTGCACAATGTCTGTATTTAGAGAGTAAAGTGTGAGTGTGTCCTACAGACATGCCTCCGGTGACCCTTGTGACCGCTGTTGATGTCATCGAGACCTGGCCACGCACAGCGGCCACGTTGACTGCTTCTGGGTAATTCTGTAGGAGGAAGGGCTCCACACGGAATTCTGGGACGGGGCCACATGCTTGCTTTCGCAGATGACCTTCTTTAGTTTTTGCAGGCTGTGGCAAATGTCTCCATCTCCATTTCCAGAAATGGGCCTCGACCCTATAAATGAGGTTTTGTGGAAGTCGGGATTTTACATTATTGGCTGGTTGGGATGAAACCGTAATATTCCCAGAGTGGAATAACCCTGGAATGCATGTCAGGATTTCCATCGGTGTTCCAAGCTGATCCCTGTACTGTGCAGTCAGAGGGAAAGTGGATCTGGCAGCTTGGAGCTGGGAGAGGTGATGAGAATCCCAAATTCAGAGGGGAAAAAATAACAAGAACAACCAAAAATATAAAAATATTAAAATAGTGAGAGATGTGCTTGGTTAATATTCCTGTATTTTTAACTTGGTATTATTTATTTAGTTATTGAATTTTATATAACCAGGTAATATACTTTATTGAAGTTCTTTTGGCTGTAGGAGTTTTATGAAAATAATAAGAACAAGTCAAGGATATGAACGTCAAGAAGTAAAAGCGTGTTTGACTGAGGCTGCATTTTGGAGGGCCTGAATTTTGAAATGGTTTGTTTTTCTCTCCAGCGAGACTCTTCCACTTGCCGCCCCCCCGGCCCGGCGTCACCCTGGAGACTCAGCAAGTTCCCGTGTAGATGGCTCCGCGTCGACGGGTGACTCATTTATCTCCCCATAGCTATTACTGTAACCACTGGAGACGGATCCTCTGCGTGTGCCTGTGAGATAATGGCAGAAAGTTCAGGTTCAGACAGTGCAAATCCAGACCAAGGTTTTGTTTCAACCAACCATTTGAGTATAAAGAGTCACATTCACAGAGTACTCAACTGGTTGGTTGAAACAAAGTCTAGGTCTGGATTGGTATTATCTGAACCTGAACTTTCCACCTCTGCTGTGAACGCGGGGACATGGTATGGGGATTTCAGAGCTGGTTAGGGGTCAACTCATCTTGTGTAAAATGTCCCTATTTGGGACCCGGACGTATGATCGAAGATATCAGCAGTTACTTTTATTTTCAAAGTATAAGAATAACAACCGCTGTAAACAGCCATTTGACAGCATTTGGCTCTTGTGAAGGAACATTCGTCTTGGCCAAACATTCGAAACTGGAGGCCTCCTTCTCCTCGTGTGATGTAATGGATTCACTTCGACACATCCAGATCCGAGGTAACTCTTGGTAGATCACTCAGCTCGCAATCACAAAGCAAACTAATTGTCTTTGAACTGTGCACCAGAATTGAAGGCATCTAATTATGGGTCAATAAACCGGCAACCGAAGTGACTGTGATTTTTACATTTTTTTATGTTGGCATGTGTGATGTGGAGGCCGTGTTGTGCTTTTTGGGAAGGTCACATGTGCTGAAACATAAACAGGCATGAAACCAGTATCGGAATTATTTATGCACGGTTCCCTTTACGCTCAGAGAAATGCGGCCCATACCTCATTTTAATATTGAGTTAAGATGTTTGTTTTGAGTGGTCGAAAGTATAAAGCATAAAGATCAACTCCGGCTTTGGCCACAGAACACCGGCTCCCTCCGAAAAAGGGCCCGCCAGCCCCCAGGCCACACCATATCAGAGCATTCCAGTTGGCAGCGGCCACATTTGTGGGGAACGAGAGCAAAGTTGGACTCCATCTGCCTCAGTTCCGAGCAGCAGCAGTGCCATTTCATAGCTGCTCTTGAGCACCCCCTACAGGTGACTTTGGTTCCTCAGCCCCATAGTGAAAAGGGCAACTTCGGGGGAGGGGCGGGCGATGGGCTGGAAGTTTTATGATACTAAGTGTAATATACCCATGACTTTTAATTATGACCTGACCCGGATAAGCGGTTAGGAGATGGATGGATGGATTTCTAAACATACTGTTACACATCAGGTCACACTATAAGTTAAAAATAACATTTTCCCCTTCACCCCCGAAGAGCTTCCTGGTGTTCTGCCTTGGAGCAGTGTATCCCAACCCAGTCATTGGAGAACCCCAACCAGTCCACGTTTTTGCTCCCACCCAGCTCCGTGTGGACCGTGTCGCAGGGAACCGGGAAGGAGCAAAAACATAGGATGTTTGGGGATTCCCGAGGACCGGGTCGGGAAACACTGGCCCGGAGCACCAGTCAGGCTTACATTTTGTTTCTACTACCCAAACAGGGCTTCACTTACAAAGACATAAAACAGGGGATAGATAAAGGAGTGACAGATACAGCAAATGCAGCTACCGAGGTTTGTTATATTAGGTCGAGTAACTCTTGCTTTGCACAACATACATATGCCTGCATTTTTACAAAACTATCAGCTATCAAGGGATGGTGGTCTTAACACTGCAGAGTCACTGTTTTCTCATTTAACAGGGCAGGGCTAAGCGGGATCTAGTTAGATAGACTATAAGCACAAGAAAGAGCACTTACCAATACAAATGAGCTGGTTTGTTTTTTTTTATTAGCACTGTTAAAGTTTAATCAATTGTAAATGAAGAGCTCTTGCTGAAGCCTACTCCCTCTTCATTTCAACCAGACGAGTGTCAATATTTACTGAGTCCTCCTGCCCTTGGACTGGGACGGCTAAGGTGGTCTGGATCTCTTTGTGAGAGAGCAGCCAACATGCTGTCACCATGACACTGTCTGGGACGGAGTCCAGCTGCTCTCCCGCAGGCTGAAGAGAGTGCTTGTAGCTGCGAGGAAGCAGGCGCCCTGCCGGGCAGCGAACGCTCATCCCGCCCCATCCGAGAGCTGCCCTTTGTCTCAGCGCCGGCGGGTCGTCAGATCAAACCCAATCTACCTGCGAAAGCGATTCCTCTGGCTGTTAGCTGTCAAAGGACGGCTGACGTCGACTTGGCCAGCGGATGGACAGCTCTGTTGTAATTAAGATTATTTGTATCTCATAATCTAGATGGTCTTTATTCAGCGAAAGTAATCCACTTACCTTTGGTGATTTTCCATGTGATTATGTCTCTCATGACTTGATGTTTTCCCTGTGTCGATGGCCACTGTAGGGCACAGATAAGTCGTCTCTTTGAACTCGACCAAAGGCCCCGACCACAGCCTTCCTAGGTGCTCTCGGCACAGTATGGAGGATTGGTTGAGGTTCTTTTGTGCTCTCCATCTAGTGTTTCGTTCTTTTTTCTTTGTTGAAAGCTGATGGCTGCATTTTGTTTATGCCAGCCGTAATAGCTTTTTCTTGCCTTTCTCCTCTCTCTCTCTGGCTTGGCCTGATTGCTTGGCCCCGGGTTGAAAACCTAGCTGCCTGGGACTGACTCTCCACTCTTGGCCCCCTCCCAGACCAGCGTACGTAACCCCCTCTCTTCCCCTTCACCCCCGGAGAGCTTCCCGGCGTTCAGGCACGTTTTTGGCTCCTCACAGTCCCTGGTTAATGGAAAGGTCGTCAGGAGGCTCCGTGAAGTCCGATAGGGACGCGGGGCAGAGAGAGAACACGGAGGGTCGTGGTCCTTCCAGGGACACTGATGTGGACCGATCTCCTGTCAGCTGTCACAGTAGCAGTGTGATGGAGTGGAGCAGAGTACCCAGCATGCACGGCTTGGACAGTAGCGGACAGCAGGCCCAGTGAGTGGCAGGAAAGCCAGGCCTTTCTCTAGCCAAAGAGGTGGGGGCTGCACTTAACACGACGAGGCAAAGACATGCCATGCACAGACAGGAAAACGCTGATTTGCATTAGTCTGACATCCATTAAAGGGGGGGGGGGGTCATCAGTGTAGTCAGTACTGTGTAATTTTCTATGCATTAATGCCCATTACACTTCTGAAAGCTGTAAGAGAATCTGTTTACATGTTAGCCTGCACAAATCACAGAGACGTCCACGTCAACATTGAAAACTAAACTTTTATCAAGAATTCGTTTCTCCTGTAGTACAACAGAGCACACTGTCAATTTACTACGAAAGCAGAAGTCCTCACAATTCAAGCCAGAAGAGAGAACAAATTAGCGCTCATTAAATTGGAAAAAAATGTACATCCACAGCAAGAGCCACCCTGTCCGCTGCACTCGGGATCCTCGCGTGCTGAGGTGAAATGTCGAGGCAGCAAACCAGCCGGGCACGGAAAAAAAAATTAAAATAAATAAAACAGAACTAGCTAACAGGATTTTCTCCACAAAGGTGCGTCATGCATACAGAGGAGCGGAGCGATGCGTGAAACACAGCAAGCCCACATGTGACAGAGGAATGCAAACCAGATCTGCCCCGCGCCCACGCGGCCTGGTGACACCCATCTGCTCATTGTTGTCGCGGGGCCCATCTGGTTTTAATAGCACAAGTGCAGTCTCTAAATATGAGCTTCAGCAGAGGTTTCCCGGGACTAAATAAAGTCACTATATGAGTTGGGGTAGGGGATCCCGTACCAATATTTGGCAACGTCTTCAAATGTTTGGCCGGTACAGCAGTAAAGAAAAAATGAATGACTAAAAAAAGGGCTTGGAGTCAGAGGATCTGTGCACAAAGGGAAACTACGACCAACGGCAATGCCAGCGTGAATATGCAGGTTTGGCTGTAATCAGCAGACTGGGGGATTCGATACGTGCGGGGGCCACCGGGTGCCTGCTTGTCTAGCGTGGAGTGGGGGGGTGGGGTGAGGGTGCCCCCCCTTATCCTGCCAGTTGCGAAGCTGCTTCCTCCTCAGCGTCGCTCCTATTGGCCCGGATCTCCGCCAGCGTGCGGACGAGGCGGGTCCAGTCCTCAGCATGAGGCACAGCCAGCTGCGGGGAGCACAAACGGGCATCATGCCAGCTCCTGTTCAATCACCACCCCCGCTCCCGCCCCCCCGACACAGACGCCAGGAGGCTGGAGTGTTTAGTGGTGCGGATCACGCACGGCTCAGCCAAACCTCTGTACTCGTGTCTAGTGCGATGAGGCTCTGTGACTCATGGTGGTCTGCTGGACGGATGCTGAGATGACGACAGCTGAAATGGAGGCCTACAGATCCTGCACCTCTGGGGTCCATAGCCCTGCTCCCGTGCCCCTTGCCGCCCATTCCAGTACCTCCCTCAATCATGCCAGAGGTCTGTCCTCTTTGCTGGACAGATGGACCCCCCCCCCCCTCCAGCCCACACAGGATCTCTTTGGATTAGCCCCATTCAACAGCATGTGCACTATTGCCATTTAATGCTCTGGGCCTCACGCGTTAATCTGCGCTGCCGCCGCCGCTCCATCAAAGACGTATTTCTCATCCCCGGATGACGCACAGTTATGGATTAAACCTGAGAGAACCAAAGCCCAGCTAATCAGTAAGCAAACACAAGCCCCCTCTACCGGCACTGCCTATGCCATGTATATTAGTATCCTGCCTAACATTTTCAACTAAAAATGTTTCTCTCAGTCTCACAGACCCAAACTAACTTCATTTCAAGCCATTTACATGCTACACAAAATTAAATTAATTTAATTTTCGCCGGCCTTTTTAAACGTAATTCTGCATTAGGAAAGTCCAGCCATCCAAAAGGCAGCCCCTGTACAATCAGAGTGCCAGGCCATACCATGCCAGGCCTTACCGTGACAGGCCTTACCATGCCAGGCTTTACGGCGCCAAACCTTATAGCTCCACACTTTATGGCACCTGGCCTTATCGTGCCAGACTTTATGGCACCAGGCCATACCATGCCAGGCTTTATCATGGCAGGCCTTACCGTGCCAGGCCTTACCGTGCCAGGCATGAGCGGCTGCAGCCGGATTCAGATGTTGACTGCTGTGAATCGCGCCATTGTGCCGGAGCTCCTCGCCGAAACCCGAGCTGTGAAAATCCGACACAACAAGACAGCTTCCACACAGGCGGAGACGCCGCGGGCTGTAATTACACTCAGAAAGGAATCGACACGCTGCAGTCGCTTCCAGCCCGGGGCTCTTAAACACTAAATTAGCGCACAACCGTTTTAGAACAGAAATCGGTTCAAGGCCGCCCATAACACAGAATGCAGAAACCTGGGTAACATTAGTCGGCTGCGTGAGGTCGCTGCACCCAGACCGTCATCACTTTGGATGCTCATCCATGAGCAGATTTATAAGACAATTTAAGGCAACTGGTGTCGAGGAAGCATTTGAGGGTTTTACATTTGCCCCCATCCCTGCCTCATGCTCTCGTAATGTAAGCGACGTAGCCTTCTGACAACAGGCCGTGCAGTAAAGATGGCTAGATGCAGCATCGCTCACTCACCAAACCATTCAGCAGCAGCCTGCTCTGTTGATGGCTGCCGGGGGCTCGTTAAGCCGGGACCACACAGCGTGCCCATGCTCTCCATTTACAGCGAGGCGGGGGTTAAACATAGCAAAGCCACATGCGTGTAAAGGCGGCGCTGGTAGAGCTGCCCAACATGCGTTCATGTATGTGTTTACACATGTGTCTCAATTAAGTAAAAATTACATAACTAAAATGTTTCAATAAATAATGCATTTACTTCATATACTGTAGGAACAACTTCTGAACACTATATTATTATGGAAGTAAATAAAATTCTTACTAATGGCTTGTTCCCTACAACCCCATCCATCCTCGAAAACCATTAATACAGTCAGGGCTGTAGCTAGAAATTCTGGGCCCCCATAGAAAATATGAGCTGGGGCCCCCACTACGATTGTCACTCCCTGAAGAAATACGGGGCGTGCGATAATAAAATCTGCTGAGAGAGTGAGGTGATCCCAGCGGTATAATTTCTCATCAATATGCTCAGAAACAGTAGGCAATGCACAGACTCCAAGCCACCTAACTGTGTGTCTTTTAACTGTGGGAGGGCACCATTCTGCCCAGTGTGGTGGAAGGTCTTCAGCATATGAACACAGTAAGAGTTGAGGTTCAGGGGCTGTAATAGTGCTGGTGCAGAAGGCCACGCCCGTTACTTTACCTCTCCAACGTCGTAGATCCAGACGCGGCCCTCCGAGTCGCCCACGGCCACCTCTCTGCCCGTCGGTGCCCATCGGACACGGTTCAGCGCGGGGCAGCCCTCCATGGTCACACTGGCAGCGGGAACCTGCCAATCACAGAGTGCCTTTAAAGCTCAGAGCCGGCATCAGTCATATGGGCGTCATATGTGGCTGATGATATTAAATCCAACTGCTTGTCCTTGTCAGGGTTACGGGGGTGGGTGGGGAAGGGGGGGTGCCAGTTCAGTACGGGGCACACACACCCAAATCACACACCATGGGCAATTTAGACAGCTTTACATATCCAAAAAAAATGACAGGACATGGAGAAAACATGCAAACTCCACACTCACACAACGGAGGAGGGATTCAATCCCCCAACCCTGTGACGCTACACCCACTGAGGGAGGTTCACGACACATTGTAATAGAATACATACCATACATACAGACAGCGTGGGATTTTAACTGGTAGAATATGCTCACCCCCCCCCCCCCCCCCCCCCAACACACACAGCACCCAAGGGACAGGCATGGCACAGAGTCATAGACCGCCGCAGGACACTGACCACATGGGAAGGTCATGGGAAGCAGGTCACCATGGCAACCGAAAGCTCACGACCCAGAGAGCAGCATTGGAGACGCGGCACCTTAGGAAAGGCTGAACTGCAACTATGCGACATGAGAGTGAGGGGGCGAGGGGACGAGGGGACGAGGGGACGGGGGGGCGAGGGGACGGGGTCTCCACATTCCACACGCAGACTGGAAGCTGGTGATGTATATTCTCTCCTAACGGCATAACCGCTCATCTGACAGTGGCAGGTACACGCGGCTGCGAGCCGAGCGGCCAAGCGGCACCGTTTCCAATGAAGCCCGCTGCCGGGGACACTGAGGCGAGACCAGCTAATGCCGGCAGTGACCCGCTCTGGGGTCTCTCTTCCAAAATGGCGGGTCCCAGATCGCTCCCCGCCATTCCAACAGCAATGGGCCTAGTTTACTGCCTCTGACGGGTTGTTAATTGACTTACTTTGACTCAGGTATGCTGGTGGCAGAGATTAAACCTGGGACGGCTGGGGGTGGTTTTTGGGAAGCGGGGGCCCAGCGATGGTCTGTGACTGAGCACCGTAACTCCGCACACTTACTGGATGCTCCATCTGCCTACACAGACAGCTCCTGCGGCCATGTGACCTACAGCTGAAGAGCATCTGTATGCTGAACTGAGTGTTTATGCTCCATTACAATCATCCACACCACCATCCTGAACTGAAACATCTTGCTCTATGTTATGTATCTTACACAGCAATAAAATTTCATTATGAAAATCAACTAGCATCATTACTGTGGCTATTATAGTGGTGTTTCATGAACACATCTTTTTGAAATTGCTATATATAGTGTATAATTACATTAATAGATGTAAGTATTTTGCAGTATCACTATGTTGTAAATGCTCCACTTAAGGCTATCACTGCTAAAGGTGTCCAGTACATTAGCTTCCGTCCGTCCGAGCTCTGCTTCATGATAAAAGTGCTCTGTAATTTATTTCCACTCATTAATTTTATATATGCATTTCGCTGCTTCACCCTTAATTTCATAAATGCGGCATTACTACACGATACAAAGTCCTCGGTATTAACATCTAACTTCCTTCCCGTAAGGACGGCAAAGCCCCCTGCTGCAGGTGTCAGATCGGGAGGGGGGGCGTTCGTGTACCCGCAGTGTGACTCACAATTAGAGGGGGCCGGGGAGCCTGGCTGCCCATCAGCGGCGACGGGGGCTGCTCTCGTCCTCCCACGGCGCGTGCAAGATTCTACCAGTTACACTTATTGTACAGTGTAGTTTATTACAGCATTGTACCATCAGGGCTAAGACAGACTGTTTACCCAAATAACAGCCTATTTTATTATACTGTTCAACATATTTGTCTACTGCAAAGTGAAAACTGATTTTTAATTTACAACACAGACTACTGTGTTTTATATTGTAGTTCATGTGTCAAGAAATGTATTTATTCAGCGTTAATAGAGCTGTTAAAATGGCTTTCTTCATGCCAGCTGTATATATAAATATTGATGCTGGCTTGCCATACGCCTTTGCGTTATTAAGTTTGTGGGACTGTGGGTAACCGTGGCTCTGATAGGCCGCGGCGAGCCGATAGCCGGCCGATCTAAGAGGAGCTCAGGGGAGTCGCTCAAGGCCAAGTGCCTGTTTTTGTTTTGATGACATGTTGGCGACAAGCCAGCTGTGGTTCTTTTCAGGAGCCGAAAGAAGGGAACGCCCCCCGCCCGCGCCGTCCCGCTCCACCCCCCCGCCCGTCCCCGTCGGGGCCCTGAGGGCAGAAGCTTCACCTCTGTGTCGCTGTTCAGGTTCCACAGATCCAGACGGCCCATCCCGTCCACGGCGGCAAAGAGCGCGGGATGAACGGGCGACCACATGACGTCGTACACGTAGTCGGCGTTGTCTTCAAAGGAGTAGAGCGGCTTGTTGTGCTGCAGGGGGCGGGCGGGAGGGGGGGGGCAGGGAGACTGAGTGGCGCTGCAGGAGCCTCGGGGGCTGTCTGGAACGGCCTAATTAAAAACTCTGCACATTCATAAAGTGTCATAAAGCTGCAGCAGATGAAAGCCTCCCAGAGGTGTACTGTAACTTTAGGTTAACAGCTGTCGGCAGCAAATAAATAAGGGGGGCTGAGGGGAGAGCAGGAGGAGGAGGAGGAGGAGGAAGGGGAGGAGGCCGTTGCCATTACTCAACATGATTCTAGACAGGTAGACTAGCCTGAGTCCCACCAAAATACCTTCTGAATCCTCAGTAGCTGGGGGGAACATGTCCGGCAAGAAGAGTGGCTGGGAGATAGGAATGAGGGGGGACTGGGGGGTGGGAATGAAGGTTTGGAATGAGGGGGGACTGGGGGGTGGGAATGGAGGTTTGGAATGAGGGGGGCAGCAGAGCGTTGCTGGTCCACCTGCTCACCAAACCCCCCACCCGCTTGGACATGCCTTCCCACCAGCCTGAAGACCGTTTCACAACAGCTGTGGAAGCACACAGCAAGGGACCCAAAGAGTAGCCCAATCCGAACGATTTAGGTATTAAGGAAACAATAAAGCATGTTACACATCAATAAAACGTCCTGTTTTACTGCCTCGCAGGCTGCAGATGACACACGACTGAAACTCAACGTATTTCACAGAAACGTCTTTCTGTTTGCGGTTAAGTAAGGACCGAGGTGAACCAGACTACAGCAGAAACGCATCTGAAGGTGACTCAGTGCTGTGGTGCAGGACCTATAATGAGCTTACGAGCCCCTCAGGTTCCAGATGGTTCCAGTATCGGCTACCCCTGGGTTTGCCGTAGTGTCAGGATCAAACACAGCTCAGGGCCCCCCTATCAGCTCAGCCCTCTCCTGCCCAGCCCGATTCAGATGGGGCTTCCTTAACACTCATTTCTGGAGGGAAAATGACATCCGATTACAGCGCTCACACAGGAAGTCGCGCCGAAAGGTGTGCGGAACAAATGCTCCACCGAGTATCACCTGTACATTTAATCTGCACCAACACCGCTAAATCTTTAAGGCGCCATGCAAGACCCTGCTTAAATCCCTCACAAAACAGGATTCTTCCCCAGCTGCAGGTTAGGACGGGATGGAGAAAGTGATTCTGCAGCCCAATCCCAAGAGACCTGCAAAGAAAATCCCCAAAGACAATACTGTCTGTTTGTCTCCAGAGAGATCGACATATCATCCCAGCACGAATAATAAGGTGTCTCTCAGATTAAAGTTTCAGCAATACTTATGATGTGCTTATGATATAGCTCAAAGTCAAAATGAAAGTGTTTCCAGCTTTAAGGATAGTTTTGAGTAAAAAACATCCTAGTCCTTTGAGTTGGGATGTTAAGCAAGCATGCCAGTTACTGCTATCCAGTTTCTAAGTCATTCATTTCCAGTAGGCTCAAAAATAACACCACAACATCATGCGGTGTTTTTCCATCACCCACTTTTTCAAAAGCCTGCAAAAACTAGATCTTTATACGACACAGAATGAAAATAATAAAAAAAAACTTGGTCAAACTTGTCAACTGCTCACGTATTTTCACAGCACCACCGCTGGTAGGAGGTAACAAAAGCCTTTTGTGCTTACATGGCTTTTGAAGGTTGCCACTGGAAAATGTATACAACATTTCCTCCAGCACAGAGCAATGGGCAGCTGTAAATCTCTGGGGCAGCCATAAATAAGCAAAAGTCACTCAGAAAAGGTGCAGCACCCAGTCAATAGGCCGCATTTTTGTGCTTTCTATCAAAGGAGTAGGAGTTCTTGCTGAGCTGGGAAGGGTAGACATATTCTGCAGAAGCACAATGAGATCTGCAAGGCCCCAGTCCCTGGAGACACGGATATCCCTCATTCGGGAATTCATGGCTGACACCTCGGCGGAATCGCTTGGACACACATTCAACAAGATCCTGCCTGCAGAGGATTATCTGAAACGTTAGACCAGCGTTCCCCCAATCATAAAGCGGCGTTACTAACGCGCTAAGTACTGTACAACATGGCCGTTATAATGAAATCAGAGTGATGACAGCGCTATAGCGTTGATCTCAGAGGCTGGGTGACCTGGCATTTCATGCACTTGCTAGCAGGGTGAAATAGGGAAATTTGGTGCTTTACTGCCTATTTTATTGAATTCTTGGGTCCAAGTTGCCAACTTTGGGACTTCCTCCCTGCAGGCCTCTCATCTTTATCTACCAGGCCCATCCATGGCCTTTCAGATGGGCCCACCCTCTCCCAGCCCACAGGCCCCCACCCCACCGTGGAAGCGGGCCAGACCTCTGTCTCCAGGGGTGAAGGGCAAAAACGGAGAATTATGTCTGTACAAGTGGCTCCTCCCGCTTCTCTGCGTGCGGTTTGAGCCTCTGTCAAGAGCTCAGCCCTCCTTCCTTCCTCTGTCACTGGATACGATTTTTTTTTTTTTTCGGGCTGCACGCACGCCTAAGCAAACACACAGCCACGGGCACCCATCCCGGCCCCGGGGCCAGCCAGGGCCCACTTTCCTTTCCATCTTAAGGAAATGCTTTATCGGTGCCATCGCGGACGTGCTATTTTTCCACGGGACGTGAAAACAACATGGCCGACCGGCGCCCAGGTGGGCCGCGGCGAGCGGAGGCACTGGAGAGCTGGCGCGAGGCTGACTTTAGGATAGGACGTGCCAGAAATGGGCTGGCACGTTGTCAGTCGTGCCCACAGGTTTGAGAGTATGTCGGTACGGGGGGGGGGGGGGGCGTTCTGGCCGAGTGTAAACATGGTACCTTGGTGTTCCACAGCTTGACAGTCCAGTCGAAGGATGAGGTGACAAAGAGGTGAGAAAAGTCAATAGGTCCGACAGCGTTGTGACAGCTGATCCCTGTCACCGGCCCCTGGTGGCCTTCGAACATCTCCCCGATTCCTGCTTTGCTGAACGGAGCAGACAGAAGTGAGTTAAGTGGCTGGAGCAGCCTGGGATTAAATGAGGAACCGCGGAATGACCATGTCACCACAGTAAATGGGAGCCCGCGGATCACATGACGTCCAGTGCAGTGTGACCGGGCGAGGTGTCACCTCAGTGTTATGTGTGCCCCCCCCCCCCCCCGGCTGTCCCTGGAGGCGCCCCCTGACCTGCCGTGTCGCGAGGCAGTGTATACCGCCCCCTCCTCGCTCCCCACCACGAAGTTGTTGACATCGCTGGCAGGAAAGGCCATGCAAGTCACTGCTACAGGCTTGGATCTGTTATATACCAGCTCCATGCTCTCCTGTAGGATGGGGGTGCCGGGGGGGGGTGTCAGCAAACGTAAAACCACCTCAGCCCCCCCTCCCCCCACACACCGTGAAAACATTAACAAGTATATTATTATGACACTGCAGCTACAGGCAGCTCTTCTACATCATTCCAAAAATGCATTCTGGTACCTCCCTGTCACCAGGGTTTGGTTTTGTGTGTGTCTGACAACTGCAGCTTGTCTTTCAGTGCCCCCCCCCCCATATGCTCACCTGGGGCTGGGAGAGCATATCCAGGCTCCAGGAACACATCTTCCCGTCGGTGGAGACCGTGATCAGGTTGTTGGCGTTCTGTGTGCCTACCACGTTGACACAGTACACAGGGTGCTGCAGGGGGGCAAAAGAGACATGGGCGGGACACCTGACCAAACACTGACCAATCATATCGCTCTAATTAATCACACGGTTTGATTCTTTGAGGACAAACCAGCAATTTAAATGTATTTCTAATGTCTTTCCTCATATGTTTTTTTACGTCGGTTTATCACTGACAAATATGAGTCAATTTTTATAAAACATACACCTTCACTTTAAGTTTCCCCTAGCAGATAGTCTATGATTACATGATACCTTTATATGCAGACTTGGCATTTATGCACCGCTCTATGTAAAAACATCAAACTAAGCGATCGCTGCCTCCAGCCAGGTCTGTTTTTCCTCTCAATGGCCTCTTTCAGCAGGTTGTGGCAACACCAGGGCTGAAGACAGCCAGCCCGTCATTATGGAGCCGGTGAACCGGCAGCTCTGTCCGGCACCAGGCCAGCGGGGCACCAAGGCACAGCCAGCCACATGTACTCTTCATTTGCAATGTCTGCCCACCCCCCCACCCCCCCAAGTCCAGCCCAGCCCAGCCCAGCCCCGGGGGGGGGGAGAATGAGTCCCTTTGTCTGACTCACGGTGTGCGCACTGGCAGACAGGGGCGTCCTCTGCGCAGGGGTCCTCCGGTGACTGCGGTTGTCCCACAGTACGATCTGCCCAGAGTATGTGCCCCCCACCACCAGGTTGGGGTGAAATCGAGCGAAGCCGACCGATACCACCGAGGACTGTGGGACAGAGATGGGGAGGGGGGCGGAGGACAATGAGGCCGATTGTGGCTCCCGCGTGACGGCCACTCAGGCAAACGGAACCCCCAACCCGTCCCACGATTTTTACATTTTTCTGCTATTCTTGAGTGGTTAACGAGCCCTTCAATAGACTATTGTTTTTACCGCCTTTAAAATGTCAGTATTGCATCAAATTGAAGATCCATCCCCAGAGCCCCGGGTTAGACAGGAGTAACTGGCCTCCCTGCAGGTCTGTCTCATTCAACATGCCTGTGTAACATACATGCAGGCCAACACACCAAGCTTATACCAGATACATACATGTTCCCGAGTAACGTGCCATGTATTCCAATGCAAATATCTATACAACATGCCAACGCCCAATGACAGCATACATATACCCGTAAAACATGCTTATGTAACATACTCAGGTTTCCCCCTGCTGTCCATAAAAATGCAAAGGTGAATTAAAGTTGACAAATTGCACATAGGTATGAATGTGTGTATGAATGGTATGTGTCTGCAGTCCAGGTCAGAGTTCAGTCCTGGGTTTTTCCCTGCCTTGTGCCCGTAGCTTCTGGGATAGACTCTGGACCCCCACAACCTTGCATAGGACAAGTGGGTATAGAAAATGAGTTTATCTATATAATAAGCCCACGGGTCAATACCATGGGGAATTCTTACCACGGACATCATGCAAACACCCGCATAGATTTTCTCTCAATGCAAACAATGCGTTTTGCCATGGGCACCTATGTCTGTGTATGGGCAGGTCGCCTGTCGCGGAACATGGCTGACTGGTGGAACAACCCTATTTTTTATGACACAATATGCTAATCTGAATAGGTTCTAATCACTATTCAAAGCTGTTGCTCATCAGGTTAAAGGTCGGGTCGCGGCGGATCGAGCTCCCTAATAGGACCAACAGGAGAGCTGCCTGTTTTCTTTCCACACCAGGCTTCCCAGTCAGCAGAGCAGAGACACAGGCACGCGCTCTCAGTAGCTCATCTGTGGCTGAGTGCCGTGCACCGAGTTCATTTTAACAGTGACTGGAAAACAAACCAAAGCAAAAGAAAACACGAGTTCCCCTTCTCCTCCCTTCTGGAAATATGGTTCCCAAAAGGGCACCAGAGCAACCTCAGATGTGTGGCGGTTACAGGACTCTCAAAATAAACCTGGCCTCGGGGTGAGGGAGAAAGGCTTTGCACGGGCGATCAAAAACCATCACGGAGAGATTTATTTATGTCCGGGATGTACAGAAATCTGGTTTAACGTTTAATGGTCAGACCAAAGGAATTTGCCAAGAATCAAATGATGAAGGGGACTGCGTGATCGACTGTTGTTTGTGTGACATTTCAGTGGGAAGATATAGGAAAACTTCCAGAACAATCCTGACAGCATGTTACTGTATACAATAATTCCATGTGGAACTAAGTAATAAACATGTCAACAACAAATATTAAAGTTAATAAAAAGCATGGCCTGTGACAGATATGCCTAGCGAAACAATATATCAGCTTATTCCAATACTTCTCAGATGTCCTCGGAAATTAAAAAACTACGGCTACAGTAAAAGTACTATAATAAAGTTAAAATCCTGAAGGCAATATTTTATGGCGAAATACCTATCAGTCATATGTTGTACAAGGAATATGGACTGTCTGTCAAACCACACTTATCGTACCGACGATATGTTTGAACGCAGTATGAGATGAAGATGGAAAAAAAATGTCTTCTGCTGCTATTTATGCTGCCTGTTGAAGGCGGAAACTACAGAAGCCCTGGAGAGACGCAGGAGTCCAGCAATGATACTCCTGTCTACCCCTGACCTGGATCTATGAAAATCTATACCAAATTTCAGCAGACCCCCTCTATTCTGTACCGCATCCTGTCACCTTAACCAGCATGGAGACCGTTACATGGCAACCTTCATAGTGAGGTCTGTAGCTGTTCCTGATTGGTTGACAACCTGCCTTTTGCTGGCACCTACTCATTGTGCTACCAACCAATCAGCTAACAACCAGTACTCACTGCAGCTCGTAATGTGAGAGCATATGCTTAACGATCCCAATCAGGGCTGTCTACTTGACCTCGACTCACTTCTCTGTTCTGTGACCACTGCATGGGAACCACATGAAATGCTGATTCATAAAGTCAGAAGCATATATGAGTCAGGACTACCACAACAGTGAGCCATCAACCATGAAGTCATCAATCAAGGCCTTCATTAAATATTATGACTAAAATGTAAAGAAACATTCTGACCAATGGCAGCTGTTTCCAGAAGCTTCCATCTCAAGCAAGGCTCCTTCCTCACATCAAAGGAATTCTTCTCCGAAGGCCATTCATGACCCGCCATGCAACGCAATCCTGGCATGTGTGACGGAATGCGACACCCATAGATTGTCACAAGTGACATTATGAAGTGATAATTTGTAAATAAATGCCATAATTGTTTGCCCAAAAATAAAGGTGGCACTCACTACGTAACGATGGTTAAGTAGCACCGTATCACGTTTCGGCCTGCTACGATGGGGCGGATTTGAAAGATACACCCTTTGTAACACTAACCGTGCTCGATTAAGTAATATTGTGTATGTCATTTTTTAAACAATCGTTTTAAGAAGCCGGCAAGTCCACATGAAAGGGAACCACCGAGACAATGACAAACAGAAGCTCTTTGTGATCTTCCAACAAGCAAAGTTTGCTAGCAGAACCAAAGACGTCCCTCCTGGTTCGTTCCCAGTTTCTACGACCAGCAAATGTTTGGGGACGTGATTCCCCCCAAACCGTCACACCCCAAACATTCGCACTGTTACCCTCTTGTGCACAAATGAAGCATACCTGCACTAATTGTCACTTCAGCATAGCCCCAAACCGACGTCTCATGCACACTCTTAACATCTGTGACCATAATCAGCAGAATAATATTGGTGGAGTTTAGTTGGTTATACGAGTCCTGCTCTGGAAAAAAACACATGACTGGGACAGGACCTAAAACAAAGTGCAGGAAGGTGTTTCAGCCTTTTCATGGAACATAATTTAAGCTGGGTCTATACTTCAAATGAAATCGACTTTGTTTTGGCAATATGATGTCATATGATGAGTACGGTGATCACCGGTTCGTCACAGTGAACTTTGTCATTTGTTCTGATCCCACCCACTGTTCACGATAAATGTGATGTTGCAGGGTTGGTCACCAGGACTCATTATGCAGTTACCAGCAGAGGTGGAGATTTCAGGTCCAGAGAGTACAAATCCAGACCAAGATTTTGTTTCAACCAACCAGTTGAGTATAAAGAGTCACAGTCACAGAATACTCAACGGGGCTTTTTTCCCCAACTCCAACATCACATGGCCTATAGTGGTGCCTCACCCATTGGTCGATCTCAGCGTGTTTCCAGGGCGACTGCAGGAGATGATTAATGGATAATGCTTTATTTCATCGGTGGCCAACCTGTTGGATCGCGAACAGCAGATACCAACTCCACCCCCCTTGGCAAGAGTGATGCTGGGATGTAGGACTACAGAGATGGAGATGGCGTTCAGTCCGAGAAGCGCCTGGAACAGCATTAAAAGACAACCCACACCTATGTAGGCAGATTAGTCTGTAGGATGTCCTGCTCTAAAACTTTGTACAACCTATGATGTACAATGATTCAAGCATTTCCGTGTACATTGCCTTCAAAATACAGCTATTACCGTTCTACAGTGATGAACAACTAGACTTGAGGTTCCACCCAAACCTTGACATTCACACAACTGCAAGCAGATTGAAGGGATGTTCTAAGCGCAACGGTCAAGTGTAAACAGAAAACAAAAATGTACTTGATATTTTGTTGATACTTTACAAATTTAATATGACATTATCCAGGAGGTTAATTCTGATTTACTTAAACCTTGATAGGTTACGCATGAAAGAAGAATTATGCCCCCGTTTTTCAACCTCAATATTCCTCAAAATGCCAAGCTAATAAAATTGCTTAAATTAGTCCCGACAGCCTGGTGTAAGTCTTCTGCCAAATAAAAATTAGGTTCTGTATTAAATCAACCCCATACTGATGTAATCCAAAAGTATGGAAAGTATGAAAGTGGTCATGCGATTAATTTTAAAATGCCAAAGGTCTGGGGTTTCTCTCTCTCTCCCTTTCTCTCTCTCTCTCTCTCTCTCTCTCTCTCTCGCGAAAATGAATGCAGTGTTTATTTTATTTTAGCTATGACACTCTCCATAAATGGCTTTGTGCCACCCAAGCTATCAGAATCACCCAGGCGCATTCTAGAATGTTCTCAGTGGACACACGAACCCCAGAATCCCAGCCTGGGCACCTGACCACAATCTGATTGCGGGCTATCACGATGATTGCAGCACGGAATTTATGGAGTCAATCGACAGACTCATGTTTCATGCAAAACACCAAGGACTCAAAAGAGCAGCATCCACTGGCGGGACGAATTCCGAATGGATGAAAAACTCCAAACTGCCCCGAATCATAACCTTCGTTACCTATGCTGTGTCATGGAGCAAATTCAATTTTTTTCCGTAACGCTAAGTGGTTCCGGGCGACCTGATTATAAGGGTAGGAAGGGTTCTGCTGAGAATATTATACAAGGCGGACCGCTGATGAGAGATGGCACTAACAGGGGGATTAAGCTGGGACACACTCTCCCCATTGTTACCCCTTAACTGAAAATGTTAAACCCATTTGTCAGAGGGGGAATTACCGTGTAACAGACCATATATTCACAAGCGCCCATCCAGTGTCTCCTCTCCGGCACCGCAATCATATGTTTCTCGGCGCGGCTCATCAGAACCAGATGGGCCGCGGTGTCTTCCAGCGGCATCCGTTTTTACGACACCCCGCGGATTTTGTCACCGTGTGGTTTCTGGCACTGGCCTTGCGGGCCCATATCTCCATTTCACAAAAAAAAATTTAAAAAAAATCAGGTCCAAAAGCAGCCGCTCTGTTTTTCATAGATTCGGGGGGGGAAAAAAAAAGCACCTCTGCATCATGACCAACAGAGATGCCTCGTTGATACACTGAGGTCAACTGTGGTTCTGCTTAAGATCCACCTGACCCCAGAACGTTCCTACAGGGAAGTACCCCTCCCCCACCCATAATCCAGGGTGATTTAACAGAACTCATAAACCGCGATGATAACCAATCAACATAAACCTCGATGCAGTCAGAAAGAAAGAATTTGTGGTGCAAAGTGAGAATGTGCCGTTTGGGGCTCCGCAAGTTTTCTGTAGGTCGGGTTATTAAATGTTAACTATTCCTGGAAAGGAAACCTGTACATTCACAACAAATTCAAACCAAGGCGAGCAGGAGGCAGGCCCTGTGTTTGACTAAATCTCACGGTGTTAGCGATGATAGATTGTCCAGCCGTCTGGCCATGTTCTGTTATTAATGTTGACTACTTATCATTATTTAAATGAAGGCTGTGGTGGCATAATTTTACTTTTTTTGCTTTTAGCTGAACTGTTTTTAATCGCCTTCCTGCTGTCTTCTTTAACACGTGGGCGGGAGGGTAATTCAACTAATGCCCGGTTCAAACCACAAGATGGCCTCTCCATTCTCGGTTCTTAGGATGCTGCGAGTAAGGTTTTCTCTCTTCCCCCCCAGGCCACGCTCCTCTGGAGCAAGTCGGCGAGAGTCATGCCATGAAAAACGAGCAGAGCTAATAAAACGCCGCGGACGGCGAACGCGATCTGACAGGACGAGCAGGAGCGGCGGGATTCGCGGGCCGCCATTGATGTGGCGTGACGGAGCCCACTTGAGAGCGGCTGTGATCTTACCAACATACACAGGCTGCCCGCGCACGCCGACGACGACCCAGAGGGCCGAGCGGCGCCTGGAGACCCAGGGGCAGGGCGAGTCGACCGCACTGGCCCCCATGCTACCGCCGCCAGGGCTCCGATGGTTTGCGGCCGCCACCGGAGAAGGTTCCAGAAGGAGGGAATGGGCGAGCGGCGGAGAACGAGAGTGAGAGAGGAGCACATGAAAGGATCCCTTGCGGCCAAATCTGGAAAAGGGTTCAAGGACGCCGAGAGGGGCTGGCCGGGGCTGCCAAGACGGAGGGGGGTGCGTGTGATTGAAGACGCAGGAGAATGCAGTGGCGGTCGCTCACGGGGTACCTCAGAAAAGCGTGGTTTCAGGGTTAAATCGCAGAACATGCTCACACATTAAGATTTATCTGATCCGGCATAACAAGAGAAGGAGCCACTCTGTTTATAATAGACCCAGAGTAAAACAATATCCAGCGCTGTCTGTCTCTTTTATCCAATTCCAGTTAAAAGTGCAAATCGGGCGCCAAGTGATTATAAATGAACTTTTTTTTTTCCCCAAAGTGGGGCCGGTTCCCCAGGCCACAGGGACAGAGACAGGGCACGTGTGTGTGTGTGTGTGTGTGTGTGATTGCTCATGACCCCCAAGTGCAGGGACAGAGACAGTGCACGTGTGTGTGTGTGTGTGTGTGTGCGTTATTGCTCATGACCCCCAAGTGCTGAAAAGTAAATTTGGCCGTGCACGGTGGTAAAATAAATACAGTCTCATTTCTCCAAGCTGGAAGCTCTCATTTGTAGGGACAGCACAGAAGATGCACTGCACCCTTCTGACGTGTACGTTTTACTAAATAAACCTAACAAAAAAAAAATCCACCATTTGATTTGATGTTATTTTAATATCAGCAGGATTAAAGGGCCTTCTTGGGACTTTCTGCGCACGCATAAACAAAAACGGTCCTTCGCATTAGTTTCAATATTCACCATCATTCTGCCAAAACGCAGGCAGGGAACTCAAAACACTAATGGGATAATGATGTGTGGGTTCAAAGCTGTTTTTAAGACATTATCCAAATACGAAATGCTGCAGAACCCCGCTTTTATGTGCAAATTACATTAGCCGTCTACGGGAGGTGAGGGGATGAGCTAAAATCAGTATCACCCACTAGCGAGGTGCCATTACTTCAGATCATTCCATGTAGATACCATTAAGATAATACTGTTCTCTTTTTGACTGGTTACTTCATAATTAACATATGCTCATCCCCTCAAAATACTACCTGTTTAAGGGAAAGATAAAATAATAGTCTATTATATCCCATATTTCTGCATTTTATTATGAAAATGTAAAGCTTTGAAGAAGAAAATGTATGAATATTATGAATATATATAACCATACAATCACACGACCTCGTAAATGAATGTGTCACCTGGAGGAAATTTTGCAAAGCTTTTCCTGCTACATAAACAAACATGACCAGCCAGCCATGCACTTACCCATCTATCAATATTAGAAAGAAATCAGATGTCAGATGTCTCGTTTGTAAATATCTTATGTTCTTATACCTGCAAAGGCTTGAGCCTAAAACCAGGACAAATCTGGCATGTCACCTTCATTTCTTAAATCACAAAGGCGTCTTTATGACAACCATCCTTCCTAGTCCCTCATTTCAATGGCTACCCAAATTCAACAGGGGTCTTTCCAAATTAGCAGGGATGGGAAGTTCAGGTCCAGAAAGTACAAATCCAGACCAGTTTTGTTTCAACCAACCAGTTTAGTATAAAGTCTCACAGTGACAGACTACTCTGAACTGGGTCCTTGAAACAAAACCTTAGTCTGGATTTGTACTTTCTGGACCTGAACTTTCCACCTCTGCAAATTAGCAGCAGAACCTGCAGAATTCAATTCAACTGTTGAGCAACATACTATGAAACATTAGTCTCGACACATTAATCAAATACTTTCCATTTGTTACCATGACACCTAAATGGTAAAACGATCAATGTGCGATTATTTCACTTTCTCCAAGCTGTTGCTAGTTTTTGTTTAAAATTTAACAGGGCAGCTACTTTTGTATATTTAACAGGATAAGATATGTACAGGCGTATAAACATCACTTTCTCTCTCACAGGGAAAATGGCAGTAGCTCTGTTGAAAGGCACGATATTTCTCGTCCAAACTGTTGAATAATACTATTCACATAGGCAGCATTCCCACGTGCACTGAAATTGGAGTTAAACAACTGGAAAATGTGTTGTTGTTTTTTTTTACACTGCTTTTCTTATGCATAACGAAAAAACGTAATTCTGCACATCCTCCAGCAAAAAAAAATCAACTGCAAAAAAAAAAACCAATAAGAAGGTACAAACTGGTTGACAAGCAGCTGCTATGTGACTGTGAACCACTGGCTGACACTGCAGAGTATCCCTGGGGGGAAGCAGAGATGATTACCTGACAGTGGAAAATATAGTCCGGTGTGGTCTTTTTGAACTTCATGTTCCACACCAGGGCAACACCATCAGGGTCATGGGGAGCTCCTTCGTTGTTGTTGTAGGACGCCACCATCAGTTCAGGGTACTGGGTATGCGGGGGAGGGTTTACTCAAACTTGAGGAGTGGGTATAATGGTACTCATTCAGCATATATACTCAAAAAGGGCTGAACAAATACGTGGAAAATGTAAGATTGATAGGAGGGGCCTCACCTGTGGAGACCAGTCCAGACAGGTGACCACTCGATGCCGGGACCAGTGCTCATCATAGAACAGGCGGTTGAAGGACAGGTTAGATCCAGCCTGAATGTCCCTGAGTGTTGAGCAGTGATTTAATTTATTATTGCGACTTGGATGGACTGAGTCTTTAAAAATTTAAAGGAATTGTTAGAAAAGTCACTGCTGTGTGCAAGGAAGGTATTCTAGGGCAGTGTTTCCCAACCCGGTCCCAGTGGGGAGCAAAACGTGGACTGACTAAGGGTCCCTGAGGACGGGGATGGGAAACAGTGCTCTAAGAGAGTAATCATGGTGGGAGGACATGGGAGACGGCAGGGCAGCTGAGTAGGGTGAGCCATTAAAGAACTACTACCTATAATTCTTAGGCTCTTTATATTGGCTCCATAGGCAGATTTCATCAACACAGGAAGCCAGGCTTGACATAGTACTTCTCATATTCCCAAGGCAGTTAACTCCCCCCATCAGGAAAATCCCCATCCCCTCTGACAGGGCCCTTCCCATCCCAACACAGCCCCCCCTCATGTCACAGCCTAAGCCCTCCTGCATCCATCTCCAACACAACCCCCCCCCCCCAAAAAGCTGCACTCTAACTAGCCCCGCCCCTAACGGCATAGTCCTACCCCAGATGACACAGTCCCGCCTCTCATAACAAAGCTCCGCCCAACCCCCTGTGGCATCAACCTCACCCCTCCTTATCATCCAGGTCACGGCCGCTATAGTCGAAAAAGATATCGGAGTCCTCAGCCAGCGCCCGCTCCATGACACGGATGGTGCAGTCGAAGAAGATGAGGAACTCGTCCGAGTGGAGCATCTGCTGTTTCTCCTCTTCGGTCAGCTCCCTGGGGGGTGCTGGACGGCACACAGGTCACATACAGGCACGTGGGGCAAAAGGCAGGATGTACAGCCAACTCTGGTTTCCTCTGGACCACTTAACCAGAACAACTGCAGTAAATTATCTAATCTAAGTACACTTTCAGATTCGCTTTATTCCCAAATTATCTACTGCAGGTAACATTTTAATATATAAGCCCCTCTTAAAACATGCATGCAGTCTGGGTAAAGCACTGACGTAAATCTGTCGTGTAGATCATTTGTTTTCTCTATTGCCAATTGAAATTAGCAAAAAAAATCTAAAAGTCTTCATTGCTTTTATTCATTGTTTGTGTTCCACATTTTAAAAGTTGGCATTTCCAGCTATGTGAGAGTTTGAGAGGCCGTGACAGAGTTAAAACAGACACAAAGGAGGCAGACCAGAAGCGTGATGGTCGGGGAAATGGTAAAACCATGGGGAAGATAATGAGTAAATATATAAATAAACACAGAGGGCTCTCGGCGTCTTCTGTGATCGCGATCAGGTCGCAAAATGCAGGGGTTTTGATGTGATTCGGCCCAATTTTCGGCAGAGCTCTGAGAAGACCCCCCCCTTTGATCTCGGCTCCTTGATTTGTGCTGCCTATTCCGACGGCTCGTGAGGAAGACAAAGGGCTGATCAAAGTGTTTTCCAGAGTCCGAGTTAAAGCCAGCAAGGTCTGATAGAAGCCCATTGACAAAGCTTTATTCTGCGCAGAAGTTCTTTACTATATGCTCACACAAAGAGCCCACTCTGCAGAGGCTTTGAAGTCGGGACGGAGGTCAAGTGACACATTTTTAATCAGCCTTGACCCAGAATGCCAGCGACCGATAAGGCAGATCGGGCACAAAGATCGGAGTCCCGTGCCACAGGTCACACGTGAGCAACCGCTCGTCACGGAAGCCGCTGAGGGATGAAACGGGGGCCGGGGGCAGGGCGGGGGGATCGGACTGGTTTCGTGTGGCACCGCTAAGAGTACGACAGCGGTTCCTTGGTGGGTGGGACCTGCTGGGGGGGGAGAGAGACAGTCATCGCTATCAACAACGATCTAATTTTCTTTATTGCGGAGTGAGAAATACCAGAAGGTCACCGTCAGGTCTCAGTGCCCGGATCTCGGTCTTGCCCTACTGACCCTGTACGTTTCGAGTCATAACTGTGATCAGAATCACTAAAGAGCCCGTGAAGCCTATGGTCTCGTCACTCCCATCCCAGGAGACGACGATGGAGATAATACTGAGGATCTGGCCAGCATCCTGGCTACAAGCCGTTATCATACTTACCGTCATCATTTCCAGAATTTAACAATATATATTAAAACACTTCAGCTATGATTTCTATATACCAGGCATTTCCTGTACAAAGGAGTTCGATAGCTGTATGATAACGTCTAAAAATGCGAAACGTATACAAAATAGTAGGTGAAAATAATATTTTAGGTCGAAAATCTGTTCAGCAGTGATTATTAGACAATGCAGGGTTGTCAGCAAACACACAGCAAAAAGACTGTTGTTCGACCAGCGCTTGATAATATAGATATGAAAATATAAAAGACCCCAGAACAGCACTGAAAGAATTTCGTAATTTACTGCGCGCTCCGGGTAAATGTCGATACGCTTAAAAGTCACGAACAAAAGCGGCCCATAAGAGCCAGGCTCTCTGCCTACTTGACATGCAGGGTCATGCCGCAGAAGGCTTTCCTGCAATAATGAGCAACCAACAGAGCCGAATATGGCCGTTTTGGGCTCGGGGCTCAGCGGGAAGCTACGCGTCGACCCCACCTTCCACCATGCCTCCGCCAGTGAGTCACCAGCGTCATTACAGAAGCCCGTCGCCTGACAGCACCTGCCCTGTCAGGCCACACCTGGGGAGAACTTTCCAGAAGGGCCTCCATCTCTATCCAAAGCGCTTAATGTCGAGCAGCATGGCTGCTTAACTAACCCTAACCCTAACCCTAACCCTATCCAAAGTGCTTAATGTCGAGCAGCATGGCTGCTTAACCAACATGAACCCCGTAAGGATGGAGAACCTGTTGATCCTTGATGGACCAAGCAGGCAATCAAGTCATCAGTGATGGGGCTGAAATGTCAGTTCTAGCTGAATTCAACATACGCTGCTGCTGCCAGCACTGGGCCAGCACTGTGGTTTCGTGTTTCGCGCTAACAGGCGTGTTAGCGAGAGCTGACAGACTCTATGACTTTTTGGATGGTTTCAAGGGTCACTCAGTGCCCTTCTTTACCTTCCTTTGCCTCCTGTTTCCCTTCTTCCTCCCGAGGCTCCGGCACAAGCTGCGGGGCCGGCTCCAAGATCTCCTCATCTTCATCTTCGTCTGAGGACAAAACAGAGGAGGTGCTTAACCAGAACAACAACCTTTTTTAATCAAACAGCGATTCTAATGTGCTTGGAGATTTCAAGCTAGTCCCAGATAAAGTGAGCGATGAGTCACCTTGGCTTGTAGCGTGACACTTGCATTTGCCCTGTCAGTGTAAGGCAGGGCTGGGGGCACAATTATGTAAATATAAATACAATGTCGCAATGCATAATATGATGGGAGCGAAGTGTGAGTGAGCTCAACAGCACCAGCCGGCACACATACAGTTTAGGGAAGCCCTTCCCCAGTGAAAACACAGGCACAGTGGGAGGCACCAGCAAACACCTGCCCCCTCCACTGGCAGTGTTAAACACCTGCCCCCTCCACTGGCAGTGTTTTGGTAACCCACCCCATACACACATGGACCCCCCTGACCCCCCAGCTGCAGATAGAGCAGAGAGCCGCCTCCCATAGGCACCTGCTGCCATGCTGCGACGGCCCCACAACGCGGCTCTCTGTGGGAGCCCCCTCCCCCCCTCCCTGACCCCCCGCCCCCCCTCTCTGACCCTCTGCCGGAGGTTAAGTGGCTGGGACCAGCCAGACAGCGCTCCGCGGCTCCCGGCAGGAAATGACTCCATCGCAGCAGGCGTGTGGAATCACGCTCAGAATGCCTCCCGCCGTCGTCACGCCAGCACAGCGTGGGATCAAAGCCCGCCGCCGCGTCCGGGGCCGAGCCTGACCCAACACATGAGCCTCAGGATGCATGTGCTTCACCACGACTAAGCCCGTGTCACAGCGCAGCCATCCGTCTTATTTACATGTGACCAAAAACTGACTGAAGCGTCGCCCAGTGATCAGCTGGGAAATGGTACAGAACAAATCTCACAGCAGTTTGACATGATCAGTGAGGTTTAGCCTAAAGTATATTAACGCCACATGACCCGTATAAAGTGTGGCCCTCAGGGCGCTGCCTGTGGGGCCTCATACTGTAATTTTATATGTCTGACTCACTCCCCTGACGCCGCCCCCCCCCTACTGATGCAATGGCCTTGACCCCGATCACCAGCGGTTACTGCCTCAGCGGCCCAGAGCTTGAGGCCGGCCCGGACCGGCAGAGCCAGGGATCATGCGGGCCGGCCGTCCAGCACGACTCCCCCACAAGCTCCGCGGCGCCCCGGCGAGGGATGCACCTTGTGTGTGTGTGTGTGTGTGGGGGGGGGGGACAGAGCCCCACACAAAAAAAGGAGGAACCCCATAATATTCCTCTGGAAGGGCGGAAAATAGAATATAAATTATAACGCGGTGCTTGGCGTTCCAGCTGTCAGCCAAGCTACCAAGAAAACCGCCTATTGTGCCGGCGGGGACGGGGGGGCGGCTGTGGGTGGAATATATCTCGGTGTTCCAAGCCTCCAACTCCGTTCTGTGGAGGAGAACCTTGGCTTGACCTCACGTGACCCCCCTCCTTCCCTCCACCCGCTCCGTCGGGGGGGGGGGGAGGGGGCTGTCAGCGGCTTGGCCGGGAAATCCGTGGAGCAGGCGACACTGTGCCGATTGCGGACAAACAGCCCGGCATTCAAAGCGCGGCTCTCGCTGTGGACCAGACCTCCTCAGTAAGTCATTTTACATAGTTTTTTTCGATGATTATTTCATTCTCTCATACAGGTCGGATATCAAAGGCGCTTCTAGAGAGTGACGGTTCCAAACGCGAGGGCTGAGGACAGACACCGAAATGAAAAGAGACTGAGCCATAATCCTCCCCCCCCACTGGTGTTCATTTCGTCCAGAGCTGGGGAGGGTGCTCTTCCTCCACATGGCGCTTAATAAGAACGACTCCACGGGACGAGACATTAAGCAGGAGGGAGCGAGGGATGTGGTGCTTAAGTGCCCCCTCCCCGCCGCCACAGCAGTAATGACATGCACCCGTCCCGGAGTGGCTTTTCACCTCGCAGGCTTCCACACTCCAGCAGGCACATTCCCAAAGCGCGCCCACCAGATGCCAGCAGTGCCAATCCCAAAGCTCGCCCAATCTCACACTGGAAGTGCCAAACCCAAAGTGTGCCCGCCTCATACTGCCAGTGCTATCCCAAAGTGTGCCCGCCTCACAATGGCCTCCATGTCCCAGCATAGACACGATAAAACCAGGAGTTTAAATGCCACTGTACAGCAGCTTAATTCCCCCCCCATATTTATTTGGTGAGGGTACGTGGCCTACTGGAGGTGTCCCCCAGCTCACAGTCTCAGTGGGGCGGCAAGCGCTGGGGAGGCAGTCACCAAAAGTACAGTGGAATCCGTTTATAGTGATTGCGTCTAAGTGAAATTGATCACTATAAGCAGACGATCATTATAACCATTTTTTTTCCTTTTTCTTTTCAAGCCGATTACCATCTAATTGACATTTGTATATTTATTACATTTATACAAGGTAAAATGGACAGCATCACTATTTGCAGAATTTTATTGACTCTTTCAATACACAGTATAGCTGTTTCAAATGCTTTTCAAATGACAGTACTGTACAAATTAAATTACTGAACTATGTAGAATTCAAATACGCTATAAGACCACAGCGCCGGCGGCATCTGCATGTCCTGCATGTCCTGCATGCCTGTTGAGCGGATACATATAGCCGCTGTTTGTATTTTTTAGCGCAGGTACTTGGGCTCTGTGGCCGGTTGTCACATGTGCTTTTAACTGTGGTTGTACTCGATTCCTGCCTGATCCTTGTGTCTGGGCCATTGTGTAATTACCCTCCGTGTGTGTGCCTTACTGTCCTTAGTGTAACTTCCCCGTGTTTCCCTGTCATTCATGGCTTTCGTGTTATTGTTGCTTGTTGTGTGGTCCCTTTAAGGAGAAGCGTAAAGAACAACTTTCGTGTCGGTCTGCCTTTCGTCGTTTTCATTCGCTGCTACGATTCCTTGGTCTGCTCGGTGCTTCAAAACAGTACAATATTGCACCTGAAATACAGCTTATTGTAGTTTCGCCGTTGCATCTCGGTGGCTCGTTTTTGGCAGTTTATCATAAGCTTTGAAGAGCTTATATTTGTCACTGTCATGTTTTCTGTGCACGCAGCATTAGCCTCAGGTAGCTAGCCAGAAGCAGTCGGGTTACCACAAGGCAAAGTAGGCTTATCAAAAAAAAGTTTAAAAATAAATAGCGTAGTTTTTATTTTTTCCGTATGCTGTCATGTATAAAAGACCCAAAATGAATACTGTAAGCGGACTACTTAATTGATTACTATAAGTGAATTATTACGCAATATGTGTACAGGAATGATACTGTCCCAAATTTTTTGATCCATATAAGCGGGTTCCACTGTATTAACCCGGGGGAGGGGAGCAGGGAACGGAACAACCCAGCGTGGGACAGACTGTTCATAAAGTGTCCCAAGCGCGCCAGATCGCGAGGGCTGTCCGTGGGTGCAAGAGACTGAGGAGCCCATCGACAGTGTCCCCCATGTCCCCGGAAGATGGAGGCTGACAGAGACCGGGGGTGGGGGGCGGTCGGAGCAGAAGAGGGCGAGTCGGGCGGAGGTCTCCAGGTTCTTTCATCTCCTGTTTCATTACGCCCCACTCCTGAGCTGCTGCAGGCATTCTGGCCGGGCATGGAGCTGATTAGGTGGAGATCTCCTCCTGGAAGTGGCTGCGGGGGCACTCCTCCCTGTTTCTGCGGCACAGGGGCGGGCCGGGATATGAGCTGAGGTTCAGGGTGCGGGGGAAGGGGGGAGGGGCGGGGTTTCTGTGAAGGGAGACGGATGGGCTCCCTCAACCCCCTGAGACATGGGCCCCCCTGAGCCATGAAAGGCAGCACACGCTCGCGGATGGGGGGGGCGGCAGGGTGACGGGGGGGGTTTCGAGACGGCCGGGGCTGAGCGGCCTGCAGACCACAACACAGACGCAAGGCTTCTGAGTGGGAGGGTGGACCCCGCCGACTTGAAAGGGGTTCAGATGCAGCCCCGGCGTGACACCCCTCGCCTGGAAAACAGCGATTAACCATCAGTCCCACATCCTGAATGCGAGCAATCCGTCCGAAGACAGTCCTACTTCCTGCCAAACAGCACCGCTTCCCATGTCTTTAACTGCTAAGATCACTGTTCTCCATGTGCATAAATGGGAAACTCTGGCAGCCGATGCGCTCCTGTCTTCCCAGTACAGTCAGCCATAATTAGGCCATTTATTAATATTTAGTAACATTTCTGTTAAAGCACAATAATGCCAGCATCTTGACATAAATTCCCCACCTGGCTGGATTTAAAACACCACAGACCGGCATGACCTCGGTCTGGAAGATGGGGAACACGCTGACCGCCGCAAATCCGCTGCGCTCTTTTGCATGTTTAACAGTCTTGAACTTGCGACAATTAGGGGTCACTCACAATTGACCCCTGATGTCGGGGCATGGAGATGCCCCAGTGGGGCAGCTGCAAGGGACTGAAAAGGCGTATTGTATGCGGAAAACGCGCCACACACTCTGCCGTGTGCAGCCTGTGCGCCGTCCCGCCAGGGCCGCTAACCATCTACCAAATGAGCAAAATAAAGGGGGGTGTGACTCAGAGATGGGTCATCCACATGTGGCCACAGGGAGAGGCCCTGCTTGCAAAGTGGGTAAAACTGTTTAATCAAACAGATACTTCTACTCGCTTCCAAAAATAAAGAAGAAAAAAAAAATCATATCCAGTGAAATCCAGTGAGATCCAGTGCCACGGGTTAAATAAATCATGGCATTATGATACAAAGATCACCAGCTACCACCCTTTGTAAACAACCCTGATTAGGTCTGAACCAAACGGCAAACTAAAACCGGAAATTGCTTTGGAGACGTCATGAAAACTGACTACGAATCCGGCGGCTGCATGTAATTCCAGAGGGAGCCACAGGGGGCAGAACGTGGGGAACCCCACATGAGAAGCCCTGAAAGTAACCATTATGAATCAGAGCCTCTCTGTCTATGGATATTTAAACAAGAAAGCCTCAAAACAGAGGATATATTTCCTTCAGTTGCTCGTTCATCAAACATATATT